GAATGTGTAAGAACAAACGAGATGTCGTGCACTCAATATCATATTATACGAGTGATGACTGAACGAAAGGAGAACACAAAAAAGAATTATCGACTATTCTCTTTGATTAGTAACATACACATATATAAGAGATAATTGAAAGAAGAAAATGAAAAAGAAATTTTTATAAATTGAATCATTTTTGTTACTTATTACAACAGGTTTTACAAAAATATTATTTTACGATCATATTGAATGAATTTAATATAATAAAACAGAAGTTCAAATAGATCAAGTGCAGTAGTTGATTTTTTTAAATAATAATTTACAGTAAAAATTATTGATCTAATATAAAGATTTGTTGTAGAATAGTTTTTCGTTCATTCATTGATGAAGGTGAATATTCAATCGACGTTAGACTTTTTCCGTCGACTATTCATTCATTTATTATGATTATCAAAAAATGTTTAAACTTATTTATTTAGCTTTAAAATAAATGAATTGAATATAAAATAAACAAAATGGATAAAGTAAGTAAATCACTTGAAGTTTTAAAATTATTTTCAACAACATGTTATCGAAAGTTTTTTTTGATCTAGAGATAAAGGTGAAAATAATTTTAAATCAGTTACGACTATTGTAAAAGTATTATAAAAGAAATTCTTTTTTTTTAATAATTTTGTATGAATTATAAAATAGGATTATAAAAGATAATCCTAATGTTGAATAAAAAGCATTCAAAGGTTTGTTTTATTTCAATTTCAATTTGATGTTCTATGGCGATTTGACGAATCAGCAAATGTAATGCATTCGAAAAAGATTCAACCATTTTATTAGAATATAATGAACTTATTTTTTATATTCTTGGTTGATCAATTAATGATGAAAAAATCAAAGTAAGTAAAAAAGAAAATTCTTGTCATCTAAGAAACCTCTTCTAAAGAAGTAACCAGAAAAAAGTTATGCCATTACTCTAGTTAATCAACAACTTCTGAGTCCATTTTTAGTTAAAACTTAGAGCAGGAGATGATATTTTTCATATAATGTAGAATAGGTAGTCTCATACTATTTGACGAAATACCGATTGAGAAACTGTTCATCATTTGCAGTAAGAATAATAAAATTTTATTTATCATTAAATATCAATGAGAAATGAAATAAATTAGTCATAGTTGATTCACTAACAATCGTTATAGTTAAGGTATGAAGTCGAGTGAGAATGAATTTTTCTTTTTTTTTCCTAATATTAATAATAAATAATTTTCAGGAACCTCTCATGTCCTATTCAGTCAATATGTTATCCTGTAATTATAGCACGTTTTCTAATGATAAATGTAATTAGTAAGTTTTCTTTCAAATAATTATTTCAATTAATTATAATTTGTCTTTTATTTTAACAGATCCATTATTTGAGCGTTATAATCAAAATCATAGTACAAATTTTAATAATTGGTTATCTTAAATTAAATATCAAAAAATTTCAATCATCATCAAGAAAAAGTCAACGATCAATAACAAGAACTAGAAATATTGTTACAAATGAACAACATCTTTCAATCAGTATTTGATAAATAATGAATGATTTTATTTTCTATGTAAATATTTATTTTTTAATATGTTGATATGATATTTTATATTTGTTTACAACATAAAAGATCATATTGTAATTTGAAATTTATTGGAAACACATGAAATTATATTTAAATTTATTTGATTTTGATCAATTATTAATTTCAATTCAAATTGGAAGTATAGAAGTAACTTGTATTAGTCACACATTAAACACAGGTAAATATTGTGAAAAGAGAACAACAAGTTTTTTTTTCTAAAATAATAGATTATTCAACATATCAACGTTGATTTATTGAAATGAATAAACAACACGATATTTTAGTAAGGTTCACCAAAGTCAAAGTTTCCACACCATTTTTTTTTTGGCTTATTTATATATCATTCGATAGAGCTCGTCGAGCTGATCACGAATATCTACTTTTTA